CTATCTATCTATCTATCTATCTATCTATCTATCTATCTATCTATCTAAGTTGCAAACACCACTTGATGTAATGAGCTCAGCGATGAGCGGAGTTTGTGTGATTGGGTCAGTGAACGCACCACGCCTGTCTCTGCTCTCTAGTTTCAGTATGGCGGCGGGGACTTGCGGAGGAGGACAACTTCTTCTACGTTCCTTCCAGAAAAATGAAGGAAGGCGACGGCTGTAGTACTGATCGATCGGGGCAAACTCGAGGTGGACTGCCGCAGACTCCGTCGGTGTAACCGGTGGCTCCCGCTGCGTTTTCCCTGGAAGATAAACGGTGTCGGTGTGATGCGCGAGGAGCCGCAGTCAAGAAACTCCCGATTTTTTTTTTCCGCGTCTGCCTCCGCTGACTGTCAGTTAGCCGGCTAACTGCTAGGTGGCTCACCTTCATGCTAACGCTCGTTTGCAGGGTCTGTAGCGGCGAGATACGCTAGCCGGCTGGTTTTAATTGCTACGGGAAACAGGGATGGCATATCGCATCCATTCGGTAGGCGAGCTGGTCGAGAAGGGCGGAGAGAAAACGTTTGAAGACCTGAATGATAACTTTGTCAGCACTCATTAGCTTAGCCTAGCTTGCTGGTCCATCGCCAGAAAGCGTTGGCCGAGTGATAGCGCTCCGTTTGTCCACAAGCTAGCCAATTAGCATTTTAGTGTTACAAGGCGACCTTCTAATCCCCCCGTTCAACCAGACGGGGTTTCTTTAAGGACTAAAGCAGACAACGAGGACACGGAAAACACTTTAGTTGGCGAGCCTTAGGTGTAAAGGTAGGGTTTCATAACTCAGGGGGGGTTCTTGTGTGCAGTCTTGCTAGGTGTCATTAGCGGTCTTTGGAGGGAGTGGTGACGTGAGGTGGCCAGATAAGATTCCCTGTATCAGGGCGAAATTGTCACTCCTCGCACGGCTCCGTAAACGACAACCCCCTTTGGACAATAGTTGGCACGTCGTTAGACGGTAAATGTTGGCGAAAACCGTTGGTGGCGTGCCCGTGCTAGCTTGCTTGCTGCGGGTTAAAAACATCCCAGCCCAAAAGGCGCGCGATAACCCGATTAAATGACAGGTCGGATGATATGTAGCCGAAAGAACTGCTGTCGTTTGGTTTGAGTGAACCCCAAGTTTGGCAAGTCACTGGGTTTTTTTTCCCCCCCCACTCGCCTGCTTCGCTGCTTGAATAGTTTGATGGACGTGAGGGGCTGTTTGCCAGACTGTCAGAGCTATACTCAGTCATGTATGTCTTGACACATGGCACCTTGGTCTGTATATAGTGTTTGCTGACAGATCTAAGTGTCGTTATGTAGCTTTAATGGACTGTCAGTGAAAGGAATGTCTTGTCTTTTTTATACCTCTTGTTTTTTTTATTTTCCCTCTTTAAGCACAGGGGAGTCTTGCTAAATTCACAGCGGGGAAAGCGCTGCTGTCTTGGGGTGTGTACAGTGGACAATGCTCATCAGTTAGTGCCTAGAAGATTACGCGACTTGGAATCTAGCCTAGACCACGGGCCACGGATATTTTCAATTTCATTCACTGCGGATTGCGACGAACCCCCCTGCCAATCTGGATCAGGAAAGTCTGCCCCTCGTCTCTGGTTGGAGTAACACTCTCAAGCCAAAGTCAATGCCTTCAGCCCTGGCCGTGTTCGCCTGCCGACCAAACTCGCACCCATTCCAGGAGCGGCATGTGTACCTGGACGAGCCGGTCAAGATCGGCAGGTCGGTGGCCCGGTGCCGGCCGGCCCAGAACAATGCCACGTTCGACTGCAAGGTGCTGTCCAGGAATCACGCTCTTGTGTGGTTCGACCACAAGACCGGAAAGGTAAAACACTTTTATCCTGAATTGTTCAAGACATTCATTGGTTGATGCTTTGATGCCTTGTTCCTCCTCTTCCGCCAGGGTCCTCCTGACCTGTAGGTT